TACCTCTGTAATAAAGTTAATTATCCAGGACAATTATTACAGAGGGAAGAGGATTAAAAAATATCCCAAAGTATATGAGCTGAAATGAAAAAGAAATCCTTTCCTCATTCAACGTTTGAGAAGACAAGAGAGAGAGCACCGCAGGTGGCTACTGACCCGTGCTAGGCAAGGTCCCACGACCGAAACGTTTTCTAATATGTCCTAGTGTTTGCTTACGTGTCTTTCTAAACCAAGTTTCACTTACACCCATGCTAGGCAGGTTCTGCTTACACCCATGCTAGGCAGGCTCTGCACCTGTACCTGTTATATCTATTTTTAAGGTACTCCAAGCCCTTGTTTCACTGACGCTACCTGGAAGTTCGTTCCACTCTTCTACAACTCTGCTGCCAAACCATTGTTTACCAATATCCTTTATAAATCTAAATTTGTCCAACTTGAATCCATTGCTGCGAGTCCTGACCCGGTCAAATATTTTTAGCACTTTATTTATATCCCCTCCATTTATTCCGTTTTTCCAACTGTACACTTCAAGCATATCGCCCTCTCACTCTACATTATTCCAGAGAGTATAAATTCATCTCCTTCAGTCTACATTCGTAGGAAAGGTTTTCAATATATAAGATTATTTTCACCCTTCTCTGTATGTTTTCCATTGTATATATGTCCATTTTGTAATGTAGAGACCAGAACTGAGCAGCATAATTTATATAAGGTCTTACCAATGATTATATATATATATATATATATATATATATATATATATATATATATATATATATATATATATATATATATATATATATATATATATATATATATATATATGTATATATGAAGTTACGTTTGCCACTTTTCCCTATCACCACATCAACCTATCCAACTAAATTCTGTGCTACCATGGTGTATTCATCAGAAATTATTTTACGGCAAATTTGTTTGATTCGTTGTTTATTCTCTCGTCAGTCATTAATATAGAAATGAAGAACAAGGGACCCAATACCGACCCTTGTGGAACACTACTTGTAACAAGCCCCAATTCTGTCATCTTCCCAATGATACAAATTCTTTGTTGTCTATCTGTCAGCCACAACTCGACCCAGGATAGATGTTCTAAACTAACGTGTGTAACTACTTTCTACATCAGTCTCTTGTGTGGAAGTCTGTCAAAAACCTTACTGAAGTCAATGTACACAACACTGTATTCTTGATCATGATTCACTGCCTCAAATACATAAATGAAGAAGGTTAGTAAATTCATCTGGCAAGAACGTCCCTTTGTAAAACCGTGCTAAGACTCAGTGATTAAATAATATCTTTCAAGGTGACTTTGAAATGCATCTACAATTATTGATTCCATCAACTTTTCCACAGTCGAGGTCAGACTAAGTGGTCTGTAATTAGCAGCCAAGCAACTATCTCCCGCTTTATACATAGTAATTACGTTTACCATTTTCCACATATCCGGCACAATAGCCGTTAACAGAGATTTACTGAAACCAGTTTGTCCGGTTGTTTTGGTTTTAATCTTTCTACGTGTCTGAGGAACATGTCACTACCTGGAAGGTGTTCCGGGGGTTAACGATCCCGTGGCCCGGTTCATGACCAAGCCTGTTCTTGCATAGTTTACCTTCATCGTGTGCGGTATACTAAACTGATTTCAGGGATTGCATTTGTCTTTTATTACAAATGCAAAGAGTAAATACGTCTTAAATATGGTACATATTTCTTTGTTACTAACAGTAGGCTGATCTGAGTTACAATTAAGTAAATAACAACAAGGCACAATACCGTGATTGGAACAACACACAAATAAGTGTGCATATATTTATAAGTGAGCTTATATTTTCTGGAAATATATTCCTGTATACCTGAAAGAAACCGTTTGGATTGAAACTTTGATTCTCGCAACTTTAATGTGATAATTTGGATTTTCTTATCCCACTTTTAAGTCTTTGTTGAGCTAAATATACTGGTCCATTCAATGATCCTTCCCTCTTTTAATTTCCCCCGTAAGTGCCCTTCTCTTTGTTTTTTGTTTTACCCCAAGAGATGTTTTGATCTTTTGTTCATTCGGTTACGGTAAATTTTGTATGATCTAATTTCTCTGTTTATATATATATATATATATATATATATATATATATTATATATATATATATATATATATATATTATATATATATATATATATATATATATATATATATATATATATATATATATATATATATATAATATACAGAGACGGAACCAGATTTCTGTTATTGAAATAATATAAAAAAAATTTCCTGCACGCACAATTAGTTGTAAGTTAGTTTAATTTACGTTTCGCACTTAACATATTTGAATAAGTAATATAAAGTTCTCTCTCTCTCTCTCTCCATTCTATTTTTCACTTGGTTCCCAGAACTGGGCGAGTATGTGTGTTAAGGTGGCCGGCTGGGTCGATTCTTCCTCACGTAAGTCTTAATAAATCGAGCATCGAGGCTATTGTAATTATTATTTTCATTACATTGAAGGGAAAGCGCTAATGTCAGCATAGCTGCTGATCCCCTGTATACGTTGTGTAGCTTATCTGAGTATCATAGTTAGTACCATCCATATGTGTTATATAGACGACCCCTTGCTAGACTTAGCGCTAACATGTGACGTCACACGGTGCTGCTTGTGGGCGGGGGTCACCCTGTCCCTTTCTCAGTTCCCGGATAGACCTATAGGCAAACAGGCAATACAGGTGTTACCAGCCGTACTCTTGTGTATTCCTACACCACCATTACCTCCTAGAACCCTCCACTCAACACTAAAGCCACATGGGTCATACAGCTCCTGGCCAATAGGAATTAAATTTTTATTACTGAGTTACATACGTATTATACAATTTTTTTAATACGAATGTCGTGACGGAATACATGTTTTAGAATCATAATCATGTATAGTACATTATATCTTACCCAAGATAACGCAACCAAGCCCAAACACTGTGGTGTATTTCCATGAATCAAGGAGTGATGGTCAACATTAAAGTATACGTTGTACGTACATAAAGCATAAAGAAGGAGCACTGCAGCAGGACTACTGGCACATGCTAGGCAGGTCCAAATCACCTACTAGCCTTAGCCAGTCAGGTCAGATTATTATTATTATTATTATTATTATTATTATTATTATTATTATTATTATTATTATTATTATTATTATTATTATTATTATTATTATGTAGCTGTTTTAACTTTTTTGTTTAAATACTAAGATATTACAAGGACCCCCAATTAAAAGAATTCACTTTCTCTGACTTTTTTGGGTTATCCTAGGTAATCTGACCGCGGGTTCAATCCCGGCCGGGGTATGGTTAATTTACATATGTTACTATGTATGATAATTCCTGTAACTGTTTTTATGTGTACCGGTATCCTTGAATTTGCATTGATAAAGCCACTGGTTGGCGAAACGTCCATCTAATTTTCATCGTGTGTACCTGTACCCAAATAAACTTACTAATGACCACTGCGTCAAAGCTGCTGGAAGGTATTGACGCACTTTCCCATGAGGCTGCCGCAAGGCAAGCTGGCCTTCCTGCCACAGCCACCAGAAACACCGTTTTCTTTGCGCCAGCAGCCATTTCAACAGTAACCATGGGAATCTGTCATGCCTTGAGACCACAGGGGTAGCAAGAATAAGGAATGGGCAGGATAGATAAGAGGAAAACGGGGTGGGTAGATTGGAAGTGACATGCAAGAAAGGCTAAGTGACTTAATTAATTTGGGTTGGTTTTAATGGAGTGTTGGTCATCACATAATGAGTACTGTATCCTAGGTAATTTATACCTAACCCAATAAAGCAAATCTGACTTATTTCTACTGAGGTTGTTATGTAAATCCTCCCCCTGTATGTGACTCACAGCTGTCGACTAACACCTGAGAACCTATTTACCAATAGGTAACATGGGCAGCAGGTGTTAGGTTGTCCATACGTCCCGCCTCGTGTGGGGATCTATCATACGACCCTTCGATAGTGACCCCATAACGTTACGATTCACATGTACACAACAAGGCAGTGCACAAGTGTGCACTGCCTTGTTGTGCTCTAAATCCGCCAAAAATATGGATTGCAGTCATTTCTCAGAGCATATATACTGAGATACACATACACGTTTCGGTGTATTTACACTGCTGCTCTGCGTACATACAAAGATATACCCCTGGAAAGTTTTATACATTAATACAACGGATACAATGATCATATAAGAGTTGTTCTAGCCACGATATTGTGAATTGTTCTAGCCATGATATTGTGAATTGTTCCATATGCGGTTTTGTGAATTGTTCTAGTCACGGTATTGTGTTCCATCCACGGTTTTGTGAATTGTTCCATCCACGGTACTGTGAATTGTTCTAGCCACGGTATTGTGCTGAAGTCATGGTATTGTGCTGAATCCATAGTACTGTGCTGCAACCACAACTGTATTGATACCACGGTACTGTGTTGCAGCCACAGTATTTTGTTGTAATCACGGTATTATGTTGCAGTGTTGTGTTTCAGCCACGGTAGCGTTGCAGCCCTAGTATTGTGTTGCAGTCACAGTTGTTTCAGCCACGGTATTGTGTTGCAGACACGGTATTGTGTTGCATAGTATTGTGTTGATGCTACGGTAGTGTTGCAGCTACAGAATTGTTGCAACCACGGTATTGTGTTGCATTCACCCTGACAACTAGACTTGTCGAAGAGATCTTGATCCGAGGAACTGGCCTAATACCCTCCTCTTCCTTAAATCACACCAGATTTATTCTCCATATCCTCAGGTGCTGCATCACCCCTACGGGATTAGCGCTTCGCAAAGAACGCAAACCGAGAATATCAATGCCCTTATTTTAGCGATTCTCACGCAACAATAAACATTCTAAGGGCATACACGAATGTTTATACAAACACAGATGTACTTAGCGAGGCCGCAACGTAGTTGTACTGTAGGATGTAGTGAGATTTTTGGGGCATTTGGTTTACCTGGCGGGAGCGTTGGCAGCGACGTCCTCCCCCGACCACACCTCAGTAAGTACTGAAGTTGTGGTCCTGAGACAATAATGTTCCCACAACTGATGTGAAAAGTACAGCTGTCTTAACTATACGTATTATTATAATCGAAACTAAACGCTAAACCCACAAGGGTCATACAGCGCTACTGCCACGTAAGAAGTTGCGTATGTATATTACCTGGATACCTGGAGAGAGTTTCGGGAGTCAACGCCCCCGCGGCTGGGTCTGAAACTAGGCCTCGTGGTGGATCAGGGTCTGATTAACCAGGCTGTTACTGTTGGCCGCCTCCAAACTGACGTACGAGCCACAGCCTGGTTGGTCAGGTACTGACTTTAGGTACCTATCAAGTGCCTTCTTTAAGACAGCTAGGGATCTATGGGTATGCTGGGAGGCAGTTGAACAGTGTTATTGTGTTGTCTGTCAGCGTACTGTGGCACTCCTGCTTTTCATAGGAGGAATGTTGCATCTCCTGCCGAGTCTTTTGCTTTCATAGGGAGTGATTTTCGTGTGCAAGTTTGGTACTAATCCCTCTAGGATTTTCCAAGTGTATATTACCATGTATTTCTCTCGCTTGCGTTCCAGGGAATACAGATCAAGGGGCTTCAACCATTTCCAGTAATTTAGGAGCTTTATCGTACTTATATGTGCCGTGAAAGTTCTTTGTACACTCTCTAGGTCTGCAATGTCGCCAGCCTTGAAGGGGGCAGTTAGTGTACAGCAGTATTCCAGCCTAGAGGGAACAAGCGATTTGAAGAGAATCATCATGGGCTTGACGTCCCTAGTTTTGAAGGTTCTCATTATCCATCCCATCATTTTCCTAGCAGATGGTCGATACATTGTTGTGGTCTTTGAAGGCGAGATCCTCTGACATTATCACTCCCAGGTCCTTCACATTATTTTTCCGCTCTGTTGTATGGTTAGAATTTGTGGGATACCCTGACACATTTTTAATTTCCTCAAGTTTCCCATATCTGAGTAGTTGAAATTTCTCCTCGTTGAACTTCATATTGTTCTGAGTGGCCCATTTGAAGATTTGGTTGATGTCCGCTTGGAGTCTGGCGGTGTCTTCGATGGAGGTCACTGCTATGGTAATCCGGGTGTCATCAGCAAAGGAAGACACGGAGCTATTACCTGGAGTTTACCTTGAGAGAGTTCCGGGGGTCAACGCCCCCGCGGCCCGGTCTGAGACCAGGCCTCCTGGTGGATCAGAGCCTGATCAACCAGGCTGTTGCTGCTGGCTGCACGCAAACCAACATACGAGCCACAGCCCGGCTGATCCGGAACTGACTTTAGGTGCTTGTCCAGTGCCAGCTTGAAGACTGCCAGGGGTCTGTTGGTAATCCCCCTTATGTGTGCTGGGAGGCAGTTGAACAGTCTCGGGCCCCTGACACTTATTGTATGGTCTCTTAACGTGCTAGTGACACCCCTGCTTTTCATTGGGGGGATGGTGCATCGTCTGCCAAGTCTTTTGCTTTCGTAGTGGGTGATTTTCGTGTGCAAGTTCGGTACTAGTCCCTCTAGGATTTTCCAGGTGTATATAATCATGTATCTCTCCCTCCTGCGTTCCAGGGAATACAGGTTTAGGAACCTCAAGCGCTCCCAATAATTGAGGTGTTTTATCTCCGTTATGCGCGCCGTGAAAGTTCTCTGTACATTTTCTAGGTCGGCAATTTCACCTGCCTTGAAAGGTGCTGTTAGTGTGCAGCAATATTCCAGCCTAGATAGAACAAGTGACCTGAAGAGTGTCATCATGGGCTTGCATCTCTGTCTATGTCAGAAATGAGGATGAGGAACAGGATGGGATGGGAGCGAGTACTGTGCCTTGTGGAACAGAGCTTTTCACTGTAGGTGCCTCAGACTTTACTCTGTTTACTATTACTCTTTGTGTTCTATTTGCCAGGAAGTTATAGATCCATCTACTAACTTTTCCTGTTATTCCTTTATCACGCATTTTGTGTGCTATTACACCATGGTCACACTTGTCGAAAGCTTTTGCAAAGTCTGTGTATACTACATCTGTATTTTGTTTATCATCTACAGCATCCAGGACCTTGTCATAGTGGTTCAGTAGCTGAGACAGGCAGGAGCGACCTGCTCTAAACCCGTGTTGTCCTGTAGTAATTTTGTGGAAATTTATTTGGTCCCTAAAGTTCCACAGGACAGATCCAGCATGGCCGTGATGGAACGGCTGAGCTGGATGGCCCTTATACCCCACCCAAACATAAAAGCATTCTCTCGAGTTGGCGGGGATTGTTGGTAAGCTTATTTAATTTATAGATTTACCCTTCAGGGAAGGAGTAGGTAGTTTTACTGGTAGTACACTAATATTAGGATTATTGAGGCAACTGTAGATAATAATAATGTAGACCTAAGACCTTAACATACGTAGTAATAGGCCGATAATGTAGGCAAACACTAGATTAAGTTAGCTAGGGAGAACTGGCAGCCCTAGCTTGAATGACGAGGCGTGGGTCTCAAAGACACAATAGCGTCCTTCTTAAGACAGACACCAACTGGACAAGACGTGCCATGATCAGCAGACGGCGCCCCCCACGTGTCTTCACATTTGAGGCCTGGGGAAATCTGGTAGAGGCACCTCGATGTACCGTAGATGACCTACTCCATCAGGCCCATACAGTAAGACAAGACCTCCACTTTATCTCGTAGATTTCTGGCCAGTGTCTGGGGAGATTGTAAGTGAGTTTGATCTGTGGGCCCGGTGTGCAACAGGCAGTGCATGCCCAGTAAGTGCCAGTGTCTCAAGGCAGTCTGGAAGCTAGTGTCCGTGTCTGCATAGTTATACTAGGGGATACATACCCTCTTGGATATAGGAATTTCTGAGGTGCAGGCAGGACACTAATAATGATTGAATATTGCAGGAATTAAGGCTCCGGGTTGCAAGTGGTTTCTGAGGGGAAGTCCAAAGGGGCTAAGGCTAAGCTTAGGGAAGTTGAAGATCAGGATATATGCTGCAACACCAAGTAAGTTAGTCCTTTATACGTGCATGCAGGCGAGTTTTCTTGCAACATCAATCATTTGTGAAAATCTGTCCTATAAGCCACTTGTGAGGCTGAGGTACCCACATCAGAGCTCGGTGTCAACAGAGTTTGCCAGGGTAGGTGAGTCACTTGGAGGCAGTCCACACAAATTTTCACAAATTTGCAATTGCTTTACTGCCACCTTTGTGGAGTGGGGCTATGTCTGTTGTTTTTAGTGAGTGTGGGATGACCCCTGTGTCCATGCTCCATCTCCATAGAATGCTGAAGGCATGTTCTTGATGAACACAAAGTTCCATGAGTCTGGGCCTGGGGCAGAGTGCATGGGCATGTCATTTATTGCCTTTTCAAAGTCTTGTGGTGCTAGGATAATATCCGAGATTTTTGAGATGACCAAATTTTGGGTCCTGTTCATCAAGAATTCATTTGGATTATCGACCCTTAGTCTGGTCAGCTGCTCGCTGAACACTGAGCCATATTGGAACTTTAGTACCTCACTTATTTCTTGGCTGTCATCTGTGTATGTTCCATCTTGCGTAAAGGCCCAAAACTGGATGTTGTTTTTTCCTTAGATTTGGCATAAGAGAAGAAATATTTTATTTTTGTTTTCAGTTTCCTGCAATTCTTGTCTCCTATAAGATTCCTTCAGCTTATCGATATTTGCAGTTTCATTAACCAGTGCTTCTCTTCGTATATCAGATATATATTGGCCCCTCTCAGCAGCTCTGTGACTCGTCGCCTTCCTCTGTATAGGGAGCGTCTCTCTCTTTCTAGTTTACATCTACTCAAAGAGATGGCCCCGATCGTAAAACATACATATATATATATATATATATATATATATATATATATATATATATATATATATATATATATATATATATATATATATATATATATATAATGTCGTTGTTCGTAATTAATTCGTTCCTGGAGCCGTTACTATAAACGAAATTTACGATTTACGAATCAATTTTCCCCATAAGAAATAATGTAAATGCAATTAATCCGTTCCTGACACCCAGAAGTATTAAAACAAAAAAATTTTTAACATGAAATATACATGTAGTACATAAACAATACAATGGGAAATGATGAATGAAACATTAACAGCATAACACTTACCTTTATTGGAGATTCTTCTTAGTGTATGGGAGACTGGAGGAGGAGAGAGAGTGGATTGTTTATAGTTTGGAAGGGGAATTCCCTTCCATCAACACCTCAGGTACCATTTGCTTTTCTGGGGTTGCTTCTCTTCTCTGTTTCTTAATGCCACTAGGACCACCTTGAGAGTCACTGGAGTCCTGTCTCACAAAATAACTGTGGAGAGAGCTCTGTTTCTGGCATCTCTTTAACACTTCCCTAAAATGGCCCAAGACTTTGTCACTGTACATGTTGCCAACCTGGCTTGCAACAACATTGTTAGGGTGATGTTTCTCCATAAAGTTTTCCATCTTACCCCACATAGTAAAAATCTCTTTAATTTCTGAAGAAGGCACCTTCTTCCATCTCTCTTCCTCCTCCTCTGCAGCAAGATTCTGAGCTGCGATGTGTTGCTCTTCCTGCTGAAGCTCTTGCAGCTCCTCAGTGGTGAGCTCCTCATTGTGGTCTTCCACCAATTCTTCCACATCCTCCAAACTCACATCCAACCCCATGGAACTCCCCAGTGCCACAATTGATTTTACAACAGACATAGGCTCATTAGGGTCAGTCCCAAATTCTTCAAAATCCCTCTTGTCGACACAATCTGACCCATGCCTTACTATTAGATTTCCAAAACACACACAATTTACTTTTCATAACATTGTTTTTCCTGAACACTCTGGGATTTTCAGAATGGTGCACTAGTAATGGCTTCACTTTGAAATCCCCACTAGCATTAGCACAGAACATTAGCGTCAGCCTGTCTTTCATAGGCTTGTGTCCTGGCATTGCCTTTTCCTCTTGTGTAATGAAGGTCCTCTTTGGCATTTTCTTCCAAAAGAGGCCTGTTTCGTCACAATTGAACAC